GTAGTCTGTACTGAGATTATAATAATTGCGGTTTCAATGATGTGGGAAGGGCATCAATTTTAGATACAGGAAATTCTGTTACTTCGACGTCAATTTTGTTACTTCAACGTCAGTGCGCCCATTTTGCAACAAAGAGTAACCAGTTATCTGCAAAATCACGATTTTACTTGATTTTTTCTGATAAGATCTTCGCGATTGATCAAATTGGCACTCCAATTGCTATGGACAGTGTTGCTTACCACTACCAGGTGCATGATTTGCTGTCCCGTCATTTGTCATCACAAAAAAAAACTCCGGCGTCGATTCGAGCAAAAGCAAACTAAATTTAAGTTTAATGCATCTGTTTCTTCGATAAGAAAAGGAAAAGGTTCAGAAAGAAAAGGACATAAGATTTTATTTTACTTCACGTCCCACTAGGTAGTCAATGTGGTCTATTACGTAATGTAACTCTACTACCAAACTCACTACAGTCAGGTTGGTCCAGATTACATGTCATGTGGTCGTAAGAGCTTCGTTAAAAGTTTCTCCAATCCGGGACAATAAAGTCATTCCGGTCCTTTGTCCCGCTGTGTTCGGTATCATTCCTTCGACGAGTTCCTCATTAACGACGCTACAGCCGATTACAACTTTTCCTGCTAGAATCCAAATTCACCAATAGAAAAATGTGTTTTCCTTTATATTTCGAATTCTGTGCAAACATTGCATTGGTGCACATTATAAGTTTTTAAATTATAAAATGATCTTCATCCGTTTCACTGCGTAGTCTTTTTGTATTGGCTTGTTTTGCAATTACACGTGCGCGCTCGGTATCAATTTCAAACGAGTATCATATTATTCAATTTATACACATTGCACACCCTCGTGTTGAGCTACAATGTGCATCGGAGGGTCCTATAGTGCCATTTATTGCAATTGACAGCATAGGCACCTCTTTGTTGAGAGACAATCACGAATAGCAATCAATCGCTAGCCAATGTCAAGTTCCAAACCACCAAAGCTAGAATTGAATTTCCTGTCTCGTTAGAAACAAATAACGGCAGAAACTTTAGTTTCATCGTGACACGAAGAAGGTTGAGTTTTCAACTTTTGTGAAATCTTAGTTTTACTTCGCCGGTTTTGTTACAGTGTATTCTCAAAAGTGCTTCACTAAGCATTAACGTAGAAATATCTACTTATTCGATTGTATAAGGTACTGTATTTTATTTTATACATGCATAGTTTTTTCGTCAGTTATAATTATTTGAGTTAGAAGCTTGTAAAAAAACTTATACGAAAATATATTGGGCAACTTCATTACTAAACATTATAAGGTGTTTACGTTCACGGCCTAAGAGCCACAATCGGATAATCTCGTTGTATGTATATTCGGCATTGGTTATTGCTTAAATTTTTATTTTGAGAATTGACAATTATAACCTATCTCTATATCTCTAAATATTTTTAGAATAAAACACAATTTTACTAATTTTTTTTTTCGTATACTTTATATATTTATTTAACAGGTAATGTACGGAATACTTAACTACACGTTCCTAAAAACTTAAATAAGTATTTCAATGTCTAACACGTATCCCATTAAGTAGTATACAATATTCATGAAGTATTTGTCACATTGAATTAATAAACAATTTGTTTCTACTTGTAATAATTAAAATTAGATTCATATAGCTATAAATTAATTTAAATATTGTTTAATTTCTGTAATATGATTTTGTTCAATAATTTAGCACTTATCAACAGGCACTTAATCAATACTAAAATACAATTTATTAGTTAACCAATATTAATAACAACTATGGTACATACATATAATTTATATTAAAATAAATATTTATATAAAAAAGTCACTCAACTAGTTATGGAGCGAGCAGTATTCGGCATTTCTCTACGTGATCGAATCAGAATTGAGGAGATCCGTAGAAGAACGAAAGTCACCGACATAGTTAAAAGGATTAGCAACTTGAAGTGACATTGGGCAGGGCACGTAGCTCGTAGAATTGACAGCCGTCTGGGCAGAAAGGTTCCCGAATGGAGACCACAAACCGGAAGGCGTTCAGTGGTACGGTCCCCTACCAGACGGATGGATGACCTGGTGAAGGCAAAGGCGGGTAACCGATGGATGCAAGTCGCGTGCGACCGACTAGTCTGGAAAGGGAGACCTATGTTCAGCGGTGGACTTCTTCCGAGTTACATGATCATGATGACATATAATTTATACATCGTATAGTACGAGTACCTACTCTTATTCAACGGTACATAATTAAAATAGTGTCGATACCTACCACATTAGGAGAAAGTGCAGAAAAAAGAAAACAGTTTGTTGGATGATCAATGATTATATTATGTTATATATCTTATACCTACTTGTGCTCACTGGGGATGATGATCAAAATAATAATAACAATAATAGTAATTAACCGTTTAATTCCAGATTCGCTGCCATCTTTTAGCGTTTTAAATGTAGAAACGGTGCTGCCTGATAAGTCTAACATCGTTCGTCAGTTCTAAAATTGAGTCCGTGATTACGGCCGACCGTGTTATTGCTGGGAAATTCCGTTTTAAAATTCAAAATGTATCATTTAGTCCGTTGGGGAGGCGAGAGTCTAAAATAGATATATCCATAATAATATTAACATATTTAATAATATGCTTTTCTGATTCAATAAATGAATTATAAAAAATGAGTTAAACAAAATCACAGGTTATAATTATTTGTAATACGGCCACGCCGACCGCGTCATTAGTAACCGCCATTAAATGCTGAAGCGTGCAGGTGTCAAGACACGCAGGGCGCAATGTAAGGTGGGCCATCACTTGAATCTGCACAAACAATCCAAGTTACAACCATTCGAAAATTCTTATATGAAAAAAATGTTCTTACTTACTTCGGCCAATGTGAGTCCGCAGCCGATTTAAAGACTTCCAGATCGGCCATAACAATGTGTCCAGGAGGAAGACCCCCAGAAAGCGGGATAAAGGTATTGAATATCTTGTTAAAACACAACAAATTTTATTATTAAAAATCAAAATTTAAAAAACAAATTTAAAAAATCAAATTTATTCAAAATCCTAAAGGCCCAATGTACATACTTTAAAATGTAATAAACATAATTACATGCTTCAGGCCCAAGCAAGTATGGAGTTTTGTATGAAAAATGTATTATTCTCTAATGGTGATATATGTAGAATATATATATATATAATTTGAACGCAATATTTTCATTGTAATGTACATGGGGCCTTAGAAGGATATTAGAATAAAGGTATTTTAGTAAAGTTATTAAGCGGGGTAAGGTTTAAGATTTGTATTTTACTGTATTCGTACTAGAAGTTGAAAACCAATTTTCGCTTTATATCAGAACTGATAAATAATAATTTATAAAAAAATGCTACTCAATGTCGTGGCTAAAGAACAATATTGCAGAGCTTGTAATCCATAGTATCAGGTATAGAAATGGGATCTCAAACAAACCAACTTTATTAATATTCTGGGACCACATCGTGAACTCAGTCGAGTCTCGCAGCTCCAGGAGAATTTCATTGCAAGCTCATGTTGCTCAACTTGCCTTCAACTTACTGATCTAATTATCTGTTTGTATTACCTTTAGAACAGAAGAAAATCAATGTTTATTTTTAGTAAATCAGTTACGTGTAATTTGGAAGTTAATTCTTTTATCTTTATATACTTCTAACCTACCAATGAAACCATATCAGAGATACTAATGCGGCTTCATGTGGAAGGTCGGACATTATTTTGAAACAGTTATACTTAACGTAACAAATTTTCGTTATTAATTTCCTTCTCTTCGTTTTTTTACAATTTATACTTCGTTACTATAATGAATTTCAGTTATTTACATAACAAATTAATGAACATATTTCAATTAAATAACCGTGGTAACGGTTGTCTTGACATTGTTTTCACTCGTTGCCATTACTAAAATGGTTAACATTATCGAGAATTGTCGCTTATTGATGACCACAAATAATAACAAGCCTAGTTATCATTGACTTACAAATAAAAGTCAATGCTAGTTATACTCTTATTTAACCATGAAAGTCTCAAAACTTATTATTGTCATAAATTTTAACATAAACTATAAAATAATGACGTTACTAAAATACGTATAATAAGTATTCTCGAATAAGCAAAGAGGCTTTAAGCATTAAACATAAATTTTAATGTAAACGAATTCTTCTTTTTTATTACTGTGTAATCCGCTTATTTCGTTCATTTGTTGGAAAATTTGTAATCGAATTTTCTACAATCAGAAAGCGAGCAGTGACGTAAACTCAATAGTTTCTGCTAGAAACGTCGGCGCGTTGATCGCTCTTGAAATTAGACTATAGCGTCAGTTTCAATTTCCCAGTTGGAATGCAAAATTGACGTTTGCGAAACGCTGTCCATGTAATACAACCAGAGCAGGATACTGTTGTGACGTAAACTCTATAGTTTCCACTAGTGTAGTTCTTGTCAACAGGGACTGATTGGCGGCGACTATCCTCGTTGACCCTAATAGGAGCCTATTAGACGCAGTTGTTTGTAAATGTGCAGATTACCAGCAAGCGTTTTAAAACTTTCAACGCCTTTTTATGTAACTTAGTGAAGGAGGACACAAGAGTTTTCCGCTAATGTAAAATTGCACTATATCCAGTTTATGTATAATAAAACGAATCTAATGTTACACGGACAAATATAGGTGAATCTTTTTATTTAAAAAATCAAAGAAATTGTGATGAAGTCTAATTATCGTACAATAAGAAAACGAGGCAAAAATTTAAAAAACTTTTAAATAACAAAAGCGCCAATTTCATATATAAAAAAAGAGTTACTTGAAAATAACGCTTGTGTGCATGGCCAGCTGTCACGCGTACAAGAAGATGCTTCGATTGTATAATTGGTTTTTTATAATTGGTTTTCATGATACCCGCTGATCGTACTTGATACGCTAGAGGTATGTGATTTGAAGCGTTTTATTCAAGTTCTTATTTTGTTTCAGATTCCGACAGGAAGTTCGGGCTTAAACACGGGCGGTGTTCATATTATGAGGCTCAATGTTTAGAAGGGGCTCGAAGGCTCCAATAGTGCGAGTGGTGCTGACCGCCCGAGCCTGGAGGCGAGTGCCGATGAAGTTGCTCAAGTGGGGAAGGAAGATGCCGTCCACAAAGCAGTATAATCTAGTGCCAAATGATGAGTATGATACGAGGATCCCTTTACATCCTGACGAAGCTTTCTCTTACGGGATCACTTTTCAGGCGAAGGTAAGTTTATAACCATGCAAAGATCTGATTATATACGTGCATAGTAAACCATATATAGTACTTTATATCTTGCTTCCATCACATAATGCTCAAGCGAATAAACCTTTTCTATAATAACCTGTTAATAGGCAGCAATACATTTATTCCATTTGGAAATATCATTTTCATGTTTTACGGATATTCATCATCTGAATCTGATTTCCAATAGAAGCGAATATTTAAAATAAGTAAGTAATGGACGCTCGCTTTCGAAGTTTAAAAGCGTGAAATATTCACTGCATATTGAAATATAACGTACACACACAATACATAGTTCAATATAACCTATTAATTTCCGATGCTTTTGTGTCTTGTTTTCTAATTATTTTTTTTCATTGTAAGCTATTCTCTTTCACATTGCTGGCGGGTATAATGAATATTTTGGGTTTTCTTATTATCATCATTATTTTAGTTTTTTAATTTTTATCTTAATTATCTTTTATTTTTATTGCTTATTATTATATATTATATTCTCTGTAATTACATACATATTATAATATTATATTAAATGTTGCAAACTAATGCCTACAACAGTAATGACTCTTTGAGTGATGGGTTGGATTTTCACTCAGCGTCTTCGCTTTCTGATTCTAGTTTTCATAGTGTGTCTCGACCATTAGATGAACTTCTGGAAGCTAGCTTTTCAGCCGTCGCGAAAAACTTTAACGCAGCCCATATAAATGCACAAAGTATTCCTGCCCATTATGCTGATTTGGTGAGCACTTTCTCAAATAATAGTAATATTCACGCAATATTAGTTTCGTAATCTTTTTTAAAACCATGTCTCCCTTCGTCTTCCTACGAGCTTCCTGGTTTCCATCTCATCCGCAATGATAGGACTGGTAAGGGTGGTGGTGGGGTTGCTATATACCTTAAAAGTAATCTTCCTTTCAATATTTTAGATAAATCCTCTTCTCCTTATTCTGAATCATCTGAGCATCTTTTTGTGGAAGTTTTTTTGGGCCAACTGAAGCTCCTTTTGGGAGTTTTTTACAGCCCAAATCTACATATTGATTATTTTAGTAAGTTTGAAACTTTATTGGAAGACTTGGTACCCACGGTTGATCATACAAAGTCAAAGTCAAAGTCAAAGTCAAAGTCAATACAATCATTATGGGTGATTTTAACACCTGTCTGAATAAACACGACTCCCGTTCTACTCAGCTTCGCTCAATCGTGGATTCTACTAATCTTAGCATTCTCCCATCTTCTTCAACGCACCACTTTCCTGGATGCCAGCCATCTTTGTTGGACCTTATTATTGTGTCCTCAACTGACCATGTTAGCGTACACGGTCAATTCCCTGCCGAGGCCTTCTCTTATCATGACCTCATTTACCTGTCATACAGAATCCGTTGCCCTAAGCTTAAGCCTCGGGTGGTCATGCAGCGCAATTTTAAGAACTTTGTTGAAGGTAGCTTTATGCGTGACCTTGGCGGTATTGACTGGGTAGCTGTTCTTAGAGCCCAAACCATCGACCTGAAGATGGAAATTTTCAACTCGATGCTTATCCAGCTTTATGACATCCATTCTCCACTCCGTCCTGTCCGGCTGAAGCATCTTCCGGCTCCTTGGCTCACAGCAGACATTAAAGCTCTAATGACTAGGCGCAATCTTGCTAAGGTTCGTTATAGAAATGATCCCACTGACGTGACCCACCGTAAATTTAAGGACCTTCGGAACCGTTGCAGCAGGGTATGCAGGGATGCGCAGCGCCGTCACATACATGCCTCAGTTTCTAATGGTGATCCTGCTAAGGTATGGTCATTTCTTAATACCCTTGGTATGGGCAAGTCTAAATCTCCTACTCCTTTTAACCTTGATCCTAACTCCTTGAACTCTCATTTCACAACGCCTTCCTTTCTTTCTACTAGTATTAATCTACGCTACAGTCGCTCTCTACCGCTTACGACTCACAACATCGGGCTTTCTCTTTTAGGCCCGTGACCGAGGGCGAAGTTGAGAAAAATATCTTGGCCGTTAAATCCAATGCTGAAGGGCTGGATGGAATAAACCGTAAGATGATCTTACACGGTTCTTCTATTCTTGTTCCTATAATTTGCCATATTTTCAACTTTTCTCTCGACACTGGCACCTTCCCGAGCTGCTGGCGTCAAGCTGCTGTAGTACCTATACCTAAAACCTCCAATCCGTCTTTACCTTCTCATTTTCGTCCTATTTCTATTCTTCCGTTCCTTTCCAAAGTTCTTGAGCGTCTTGTCCATTGCCAGATCACAATATTCGTGAACTCGTGCAATATCCTTAGTCCTTTCCAATCTGGCTTCCGTTCAGGGCATAGCACTGTTACTGCCTTAACCAAGGTATCTGATGACATTCGCGAGGGTATGTGGAATCAACATCTGACAGTATTAGTTCTCTTAGATTTTAGCAACGCGTTCAATACTGTTGACTTTGATATTCTATTAGCAATGCTGAAATCGGTCCTTGTGTCAGATTTGGTAGTGGAGTGGTTTCGCCACTATCTCGTTGGGCGTCGGCAATGTGTTCGTGTTGACAATAAGCATTCTAGCTTCTGTGACGTTACTGCAGGCGTGCCTCAGGGCGGGGTTCTCTCTCCTCTTCTTTTTTCCATCTTTATAAACTCCCTTACTCCCTTACTTTCTTGCCAGTATCACTTGTACGCCGATGACGTTCAGATTTATTCTCAGTCTCCTGTGTACGACGTGGACAATTTAATCGCCGAACTTAATGACGATCTCGCGACTATACACGATTGGAGTCGAACCCATGGCCTTACGGTCAATCCTAACAAGTCGCAGGCCATCGTCGTTGAACGCTCGAAGCAAATCGCCAAATTAAATAATGCCACTATTCCCCCGCTTTTCTTCAACTCCTTCCCTCTGCCTTACAGTAATGTTGTTAAAAATCTTGGCGTTCTTTTTGACTCCACTCTGTCTTGGTCGCCACCACATATCGCTGAGGTGAGTAGGAGGGTGTTTGCTGCCTCTGGGTCATTGCGGCGTTGGAAAAATCTGCTTCCTGTGAGGACTAAGGTGGAACTTGCACAATCGTTGCTCTTACCTATTCTTGATTACGCTGATGTCTGTTTCATTGACCTTAACGAGGATCTGTTAAGCAAACTCCAGCGTCTACAGAATCTTTGCATCAGATTCATATACGGATTGCGCAAGTTCGATCATGTTGCCGAATTTAGGAGAAGGCTTCAGTGGCCCCCTATCAAGTTGCGCCTTGAGGAGCACGTTCTCAGCTTACTTTACAATGTTCTATACGACTCTCGTACTCCGCCATACCTTAATGTTCGTTTTCACTTCCTCGGGGATGATCACAACCGTGAACTAAGGTCTAAAATGGATAACCTACTGAAGCCTCCTTTCACTCGCTCTGAGTATTACAAAAATTTTTTTACTATTAAGGCTGCAAAATTGTGTAACGATCTCCCATTTGAAATCCGACATTCTAAGTCGCTACCTATTTTCAAAACCGGATTGCGTAAATATCTTTTATCACGGTCCTAGTCTGCAACGTATGTATATTAGTAAGTATAAGTTATTACTAATAACTTATTAGTAAGTATAACTTTATTTAGGTATATTTATATATACATATATCTACGTAGGTATAATATATCATTATTTTTTAAATATTTTATAAATTACTATGTGTCTTTATTTAATTTTATTATTTTGTATTTTTTTAATTTTTTTACTTATACAATTTTATTTTTTTTATATTTTTATTTTTATTTTTGTAAAATTGGCACACTACGTCTCCCGCTCCGATTAGCTTTCCTCTAACTCTAAGGTTGTCTGGAAGAGATCGCTCTTAGCGATAAGACCGCCTTTGCCCACATTAGTTTTAAGTTGTTTATGTACTATTCTTGTTCTTGTGTGTGAGCAATAAAGTGTATCTATCTATCTATAATGGAATTCGTGAACCCTCATAACCGAGGGTTCAGGAGCAATTTCATACCTAGACGATTAAGCTTTGCTCTATTTAAAATTCAATTGTTTTGCTTTAAAGTAATAGGTTATGTATATTAATAACTTTAAAGTGTAAATTGCAAAATTCATGTCTGTGAATGGTTCTCTAATTGATGAAGGTGGTGGGTGTAAAATCAACACCAACTGTATCGACTTTCTGAACAAACAAAACAAACGAACTGGTGAGAAATCTAAAAGTCACCCGGTTCCGTGGAAAGCAATTCTAAATTCAATTAGTAATGTTTCCACTTCGTCGATTCCCCAAATTTTGTTTTAGTCTTAACAATTCCTTAATGGCGACTATAAATTTTATTTCGAGTGAGTCGAAAGGTTTTCAATGTTGATCGAGCAATTTTGATTAAGTTTTTCATTCATGTAAAGTATAAAACTGACGGATAGTCAAATTGTTTGAACAGTAAAACAAACGAATTACGGTTAATAATATACAGATCTCTTAAATTGGAACTCCTATTTCTCTACAGGGGAAATGTTCTTGACCTACATATTATGGCATTAAATGCGCATACGTTCCCTTAACCCTAAACTGATAGGTGTATAATTGTGGTGCAAGAAATCAATCAATCATCAATCATGTTCTATATTATTCCACGAGGCCTACCGTTATATAACATTTGAATAAAGATGTGTATGTGTGTGTGTGTGTGTGTTTGAGTCTATTGGACCGAAGCGGCTTCGTAAGCCTGGGATTACGCTACTGTTGTCTAGTTTCTCCTCGTGTCTCTAAGTCTTCTTAACTTGGAACAGTACAACACACAACAAACAACCTACAAAAGGTTATCTTAATAAAATCTTTTTATGAAGTTTTAAGTTTCGAATAATAGAAGGGGTTGTCACGGACGGCATTATCCTAGTTTCCGCTATCAGGACGATAAAGGCAGTTATCTCCGGGACCTTAATAAAATAAAAATTGGTTGTGTACAAAGAGGGCCTCGGTCCGCAGAGACTCTCTATTCATGGTTAGACACAATGGGTCTATTC